TTTATACTTCACTTTCTCTTTGGTTGTAACATTTCTCATCAACCAATCAAATCTTTAATTAATCCCTCACTTTCTAAGTAAAAAATTAAAAATATTGGTTTAATATACATTTTGTTTTCTTGAAATTTGTTAAAATATAAAGAAAAGATACATACTTTGTGTTTAGTGTTCGAAATGGTGTAAAAGGGTAGTTTCTTGTTGTTTTTTTTTCTTTTTGGATTTTTGAGGAAAAAGTATATGTATTCTGTGTAGTGTTTGAAAAGGGTGAAAAAGGGTAGTTCTTTTCTTCTTTTTTTTGGGGATTTTTGAGAAAAGGTGTAATCTTTAAATTGTTAGAAGATAAAGAAAGATATATAGTGTGTGTATAGTGTTTGCTAAGGTGAAAAAGGGAGTTTCTTGATTATTTTTTTTTGAGAAAAGGTGTAATCTTTGTTTGGAATGGAGGGATTTGGAGGAAAATTTAAGATTTTAAGGCCAGTTTTGTCAATTTTATGGAGTTTTCTATTAGCTGCTGTTTTTGTATCAGCAGAAAGAAGAATCAAGAGGGAAGTTATTGAACAAAATGCAGCTGAGCTTTCAGATGCAGATTACCTTTCAGCTGTTGCCAACTTCTTATGGAGGCCTAATAAATCTGGTTACCAACATGTTTGGCCGGTAAATTTCGGAATTATTGGTTTGATTTTTCATGTTGATTGTTGAACATTTGGAACTCTTTTTTTAACTTGAATCAAGATAAAACATACACTACTTTTGTAGGATCGGACAGGTACTAAAGCGTCTAAGCAAAATAGGTTGGAAGTGTCATTAGTTTTGCATGAGTGATTAGTTTGTTGAGTATAGGACTGAATTAGAATGGATATTGAGTATTCATATAGTCGATCTCAACTAGTTTGCATTTGAGGCATAGTTGTTGTTGTTATTGTTGTTGTTTTGTGAATATTTGTTTGATCAGCAATACTGATCAAATAAGATAAGCTTCATGATCGAGCTACGAGAGAGTGAATGCAACACTTAACCAAAAGGGAGAAAAGTTATTAGTATGCATGCAAGGGAACACTAAGTTATTTTTTCCATGTATATTTAGAGGCAATGTTTAGTTCTTTTCTCTTTATTTTAGAAGCCATGGAACTTGCATGTCATGATGTGTGCTTACTTACTATTCGACATCAAGAAAATCAAGAGTAGCTTGGATGTTCAGTTAGAAATGAACAAAATTAGGAGAAGGAACCCAATGAATGGATAAAACTACAATGTCCATATGTACCTGAGCTGATGTGGAGTTAATGTTCCAAATTAGTATGTTAATTTTCCATTTGAGAGTTATACATAGCAGAGTGCTACCGACCTCCATGGAGAATCTGAGCTATGATTGAGCTGTTGAACACATGCAATATGTGACGTATGGTGTGCCTCGTATGGACTAGCACTTTAAGTTTATAACCACCTTGATCTCTGTTGATATATGGGGTGTCATTGCAGGATATGAAATTTGGATGGCAAATTGTTCTTGGTTCCACGATTGGATTCTTGGGCGCAGCGTTTGGGAGTGTAGGTGGTGTTGGTGGTGGTGGTATATTCGTACCAATGCTTAGTCTTATTGTCGGATTTGATCCGAAATCAGCTACAGCAATTTCAAAATGTAAGATTAAGGACAATTTCAAAAGTTCTGTTATGAACTTTTTTCTCCTGGTTAAGAGAGTCTTCGCTTCTGTTTCCGGTTGACAGGTATGATCATGGGAGCTGCAGTCTCTACTGTTTACTATAACTTAAAGCTCAGGCATCCCACAATCGCCATGCCTATTATTGATTATGACTTGGCTGTGCTCATTCAGCCAATGTTGATGCTTGGCATTAGTATTGGAGTTACTTTCAATGTGATATTCGCAGATTGGATGGTTACGGTTCTGTTAATTGTTCTCTTCTTTGGTAAAGCATCTCTCATAATATGCAACTGGTGCTTTTAAGTTATTACTCCTACACGACTTTGATTGTAAACGATTGTTCCAGGCACGTCAACCAAGGCCTTTCTAAGAGGGGTTGACACATGGAAGAAAGAAACTATTGTGAAAAAGGTTATCATCTTTATATTGTCGGAGTGTCCTGGTTTTGCGATGCAGTGATCAGTGATCTGTACACTACTTTATGTTCTTTTATAGCATGTTAGAATCTGTAATCTTATATTGGTTCTTTCTTATGCATTCTAACACATGAAGTTAATATCAGAGATTATTTATCGAGTCAGATTCTAGTAAGACGGTGTTCAATTAGTCATGCATGTGAAGTATTGGGTTTTTTCTAATCATCTGTTTTTTTGTTCCTTCAGGAGGCTGCTTCTAAACTTTTACGAACAAATGGTAGGTTAGGAAAATGAAGTTTTTTCTATTGTATTAAAAGTTTAGAGGGCATTTGACCTCGATTTTCCTTCTCGTGGAGATTAGAGTGTTTCTTTGTTGCATTATGCCAGGCACGCGCGATGAAGCAGAATACAAGCTCCTTCCTGGCGGTCCAGCCAATGGTGCTGCCAAGGGTGCAGCTGAACCACGGGTGACTTATCCTAACTCTCGAAAGGAGAATTATATTTCTCCTGATATTATAACTCTATAAAGCCATGTTATTTTAGGTTCCTATCGTGGAGAACGTTTGCTGGAAGGAATTTGGACTTCTCTGCTTTGTTTGGGTTGCATTTCTAGCACTGCAAATTGGAAAGGTTTTCATTTCTTATCGTTTTGGCTTTGTTTCAATATATAGGAGTGACACTGTTGAATTTTATCATTTTTTTTTTTGCTTTAGTACTAATCTTGAAACTCACTGGCCGTGTACGTTTGGAATAGATTTACACATCTACTTGCTCGGTATGGTACTGGGTGGTGAACTTGTTGCAGGTTTGTATTGGTTATCTCAAATTATGTTTGAAGCAAACTTCTAAGACACAAAGTAATTCTTATAATCGGTATGAAACGTCCTGCAGGTCCCAGTTTCTGTTGGGATATCTTTTTATGAAGCTATTAGCCTGTACAAAGGATGGAGAAGGATTCAATCCAAGGGAGATGATGGCACCGATTTTCGAGTGACACAACTGATTGCTTACTGCTCCTTTGGTATACTAGCAGGTATGGTTGGTGGACTTCTTGGACTTGGTGGAGGATTTATCATGGGTCCACTGTTTTTGGAGCTCGGCGTCCCTCCTCAGGTTAAGTTAACACGAAAAGAACATCACCAATCTGTCGTCTGGTTTTCGTGCTTTCATTTCACGTTAACGTGTATCATATCTCTTACTTAGGTCTCAAGTGCTACGGCTACCTTTGCGATGATGTTCTCCTCATCAATGTCCGTGGTTGAGTATTACCTTCTAAAGCGTTTCCCGGTTCCTTATGGTATGAACACAAAAACACATCTGTTCTATCTCATCCATAACAATGCAGAACTGATCATTGGATCTTCGTTATAGCTCTCTACTTTGTTGCTGTGGCAACTGTTGCTGCTTTCGTTGGGCAACACGTCGTGAGGAGGTTGATTATTGTACTAGGACGCGCATCGCTTATCATCTTCATCCTTGCCTTCACAATTTTTGTGAGCGCCATATCACTAGGTGAGTATCTAGTAACTTGACACCAGCTAAGTAGACACTTAAACTTGTATACTTATTCATAAAAGGACACACACTCATCGTGTCTGCATTCATTTGCTTCTTCGTTTTAACAGGTGGAGTCGGGATATCAAATATGATTGGGAAGATCCAACGCGATGAATACATGGGATTCGAGAACCTTTGCAATTACAGGATTTAAGAAATGGTGTGAAAGGAACTGGTTCATCAACAGTTGATTTTACTGTTAGAGATTTCTACTCCAGTAGAGCAAAATGTAGAAAATTAACAAGTAGAGATCTTTTTGTTTATGAATTTTTCTGTTATAAATATTTCCATATATTGAAATTCTGGTATATTTTGAACACCAAGAATAATAATGCAGAGGAGATTCAGATAAGTTGTTTTTATTTTTTTTGGCATAATATTGTGTCACAAGTATATTGTTAAAAAAAAAAGAGAGAAATATTATTAGATTTCTTAAAAATAAAATTAAAAACAAATAGCAATCAAATCGATAAATGTTTTGATTTGATTTGATTAAAAATCGACGATATATGCAGACAAACATTCATTTTTTTTTTTTTGAAGAATGACAACATTATATATATTTTTTTCAAATATTTTATACATAAATTGTTTAATTATAGAAGATTGTGATATATTTACTCATTATAACAAAAAAAAGAACTTGGCAAAAAATATTTGACCATATAACTTGGCATTTTTAATAAATATTTTTGACAATAAATTCAAATTTATTAACATGGCAAAAATGTTTGACCATATAACTTGTTATTTTTTACAATAAATTCAAATTAAATATATTGGGCCAAATTCTATTTTTTGAAAATTTTTTAAAACAAAAATCAACCTTAAACTTTTATATTTTATAAGAAAATCACACCATTACAAGCTATTCACTCCTTTATAAGAGACCTAGAGTTTATACTTTATGAGTTTAATTTATTACGAAATATATTGATTATAAAGTAATAAAATAAATTTAAGTGTATTTTTAATATTTTTTAGAACTTCCGAATATAAATCATAATTTTTTATTAAAATTAAATATTTTCCACAAAAATTATGACAAATCACATGGTCAAACTTTATATTAATGATGGTTATTTTTTTTTGGTTTTTATGATTAAACAATTAAGAAATGAATATTTGTATTTATGATTACAAACCCAAAATAAAAAAAGGAAAAAAGAACCGGTAGTAACAGGTAGCAAGTAGAAAATTACCGTTAGACTTGAAAATTTTGAAAAGTTACTAAAAATAGATACAATCTAACGGTTGAGATAATCTCGTCAACTAATAATTTACCGGCAACCGGTTAATCATAGGTTTTTTCATCTTCATCAGCATACTTCTGTCATAATTTGAATACATAAACCCCCCACCCACCCACGCCTCTCTCACACCCCACCCCACCCCATACCCCCAAATTCTTCAAAATTTTTGCAGATCTTGCTGAGTTCATCACACCATTGATTTCTTGGAATTTCAGTCTGATTCGATTGAATGATTCGAAGCTCATTTCAGTTAGTACAACTTTTTTTCTGAATCTTTTTAAAAAATCTTGGTGTTTGAGTTTGAATTGTTGTTGATGATTGCTTGAATTGTTGAAAAAAAATCAAATCTTGAATGGGTTTGGTATAAAAATTGCATCTTGAAGCCTAATTTGATTTGATCATCTGATTTTAGTATGGGTTTTCTGTTGATCGGATAAATTTTGTGCTTTTTTAATTTAGCTAATGTCATTTGATTTGGAGCTCTTTAGGAAACAGGTAGAGCCTAGAGGTAAGGGTCTGCGTAGACTTTATCCTCTCGAGACTCTACTTTGTGGGATTTCAGTAGTATGTTGTTGTTGTTCATTTAGTTTGAATTGTTATAGATGGTTTTCTTGAATGAAATGATCTGATTTTAGTATTTATTTTCTGTTGGTTGGATAAAATTTTATGCTTTTGTTTCATTTAACTAATGTCATTTGATTCAAGGGTCTTTAGGAAACAGGTAGAGGTAAGGGTATGCATAGACTTTATGTTGTTGTTGTTGTTCATTTAGATGGAATTGTAATTGAGAATTTTCTTGAATTGTTGAAAAAATCCAAAATTTTGAATGGGTTTCATATAAAAATTGCATCTTGAAGCCTGATTTGATTTATGGATCGAACCTGGAATTAAAGAATCCCAGTGAAGTGATCTGATTTAAGTTACAAGGTTAAGATACTTCCATAACATAGAAATGACCATGACAACAACACCAATTACGCCTCAATCTTAAGCTAGTTAAGGCCACCTATGGGAATGCTAACTTTCTATATAGCTTCATTTAGGATCCATTTCGTTCCTATGTTCAGTAATTTGAGTTTCTTAAACTAGATGTTCTCCACAATTTCTGTTGTCGTATAAATATCTAAATAAACTAAAGAAGACTCGTAGAAAATAGTAGGCCTAAAGTAAGCATGACACTATGGCTAAATCTTTATCTAACTAATTGTATGCTTATAAAGATACTTTCCTTGTTTTCATTTTTCACCAAGTCTGCATCGATTCAAGAGATTGTTGGTCTTTTAAGACAACTTCATCACCTGTGATTTTGGTCAACTTAGTCACTTTCAACATCTTGAGTCATCATATTGATTGGTTTAGACTCTAGATAGGACATGAACCATTAAAAGTGACTTTTTCCCGTTGTGTTTACTTGTACTCATGGAAGGGGGAATGAAGAACGAAAAACATTACGTTACCTTGTGGATGCAAACTTTGGAGACTGGAGTACATAAAGAGATAGGAAGTAGGGGTGGGCATGGTATGGTGTTGAGAACTTTGTTTCAGTAATTTAGGTACAAGCTAGGACTCGTGGAGGTTGGGGGGTGAGAAGTGATTACGCGTTCTCACTAAAATCATATTACCACAAAGCTTTTTGAGAGAGTTGAGTTGGTATTCCACATATTCAGTTTGGTTTTCTAGGGGGCCAGGTGTAATTCTTCATTTGGTGGGTTGTGAAGAGAGCGATTCAGACATTGGAAACTTGAGTAAGAGAAAGACTACATATGTTAGACTAGCTTTATATGTAGATGTTCAAACAAGTATTACATATGTTGCATTTTCGGGTGACCGTATGTGGTGGATTGTATTAAATGACATGTTTGTGTCCTTGGAAGAATATAGAGAGTTTGCTGGAATGGGATATTGCCCGTGACCGACATGTGAATCCTATGAGAGGAGAGAAATAATTTTATATATGTGATAAATAACCAGTTTCTCTTAGTTGGTTTTTGGTGCACCCATGAGGTTCTATTTTTATGAAAGATTCGGTGTCATTTGTAGAGAAGCACATTTTTGTGTAGGTTTTCAACTTTTTTGGCAGACCCATTGTATACTGGAGTCATTCCACATTAATAAAAAATTTACCTTATTGAGGAAAACACCTTGTTGCAGATATAAAATAGATAAATAATGACCAGTTCGAACACTTCGATTATTGGAATAAGAATCATTTGATAATTTATGAGAGTTCATTTTAAAAATATAACTAGTACATAGAGGACGCTAATTTTATCCAAATGTTCTTGTATTTGATGTACTCTGCTCGGTTGATAATTCTGCCTCGTATTTTTCAACTATGCAAATTTGAGGTGAAAATGTTTACATATGTACATAACAGAGGCTTACATTATCTTTTGGATTTTGTTTTTTATTTCTAGCAAAAATCCATTGCATAGACTAATTTTTAGGTGCTAGGAATAAGGATTTAACTTGTTATGCTTAACTTTTAGCAGTAATCCAGGTTGCTCATTCTAAAAATGTAGCTCATATTGAATGCATTATGATGCTTTAGATGCTATTATTCCATGCTATTCAAATCATCTCGGTAGAAGCCATCACATTATCTGTTGTGCTTTAACAGTTCATGTTTTCAGAAGATCAGATAGTATCTCTTACATCATAGGGGGTGACACATAATGTACTTGGGAAGACATTTTCTAGAGAACTTTCGAGCTTTGGATGGATTATCAAGATTTGCCTTTGTCTCAAGCAACCATGGAAAGTGATGAAACAAGCAACACCCCTTCAGATGATATCAGTAGTCTGCAAAGTTCTCGGCCTTTGCATGGGTAATTCTCAAAGACTGCATAATCTCATCTCTTGTTTCATTTTTTTTTGGGTTTCATTCTGTGCTTTTGTAATTTCCTTATTGAGATTTTGCTCTATTTTACACAAACCCTTAATCCGGTTGTTCATTCATGTCACATAAGATTAAAATGATGTTGACCTGAGATCGAGTTGAATTTTGGCTAGTCACATTGGTTTCTTTGACTTATCCTAGGTAGTTAGAAATCAGAGATGCATCGGGAAAAAAAGTAGGTGAGGATGGAGGAGAAGAAGCAGTAATAAGATAGTTGGATTACCTCTATAACATATTGGAAGACATAATATAATATCTATGCTTTTCGATGACAAAAATAGCTGTCTAATGCTCAAACCGTTAGTCTGCCTGGTGCATCCCCGTCAATAGTACATGGAAAATAATATATAAGGTCTGTTCAGGTTTAGTCAAGTTACATTGGATTCTTTAGCTTTTAATACGTAGTTAGTAGTAGTTATAAATATACAAACTACATGAAAACAAGTAGAAGAATGGGGAACAGAAGACAAGAAACAATGACAAGTTTGCCGTGTCACACCAATAGCAAATGTGATATAAGTACTTAATGTTCAATTTAAGGAACTACATATAGTAATCTCTTTCCTTTCCAAAGTATGGCACCATGTCCACCTATCCCTTACTTTAAGGGTCGTTCTGTACTTTCCATGAAAATGAACTGAATTGAAAGTTATGTTTGATTGTGAGATTTGAGAAGACTATCATATTCACATCCTTTGTGTCATCATTTTGAACTTCCCAAAAGCTTCGGATTTTTTATTAGTCCTGCTAATGTTTCAGGAGGACGAGTGGTCCTAAGAGACGTTCCAGTCACTGGACTCCCGAAGAGGTAAGCAGGCATTTCCTAATGATCTAGAAAAATGTGCATGAGTTTCAGGGTTTTCTTTTGGTTTTATGTTCTTCTAATCTTTTTTTGGGTAATCGGGGACTTATTTTTACCCCCACCTTTATATGTGTAATGTTATATGTTATGTTAAAGTTACAAATAATCTAGCTCTATCTGTTTTTGGGGAGGGTGGACTTTCAATTCCTAGTTAACATGGCATGAATGCTGTTATCCAATTAAAACTAATTGTCTGTGCCTTCGAGGAGAAGACACTCAATTATGCTTCAAATGGAAGTTCGGAATTTTTCTTGCATAAAATCATTTATGTGATGGATTAGTGTACAAATCTATTGCAATTTTATCCCGTTTGTTTCATAGTTGTAACAGCATTTATGTTTGTATGGGAACTGTGTTTCACTGACAAGGATTATTTGGGTCATTTTTAGTTCTTTTCTGCCTTCCGTTAGTGATTTCAATCAAACATGTTGGAAAATGCTTGGCTTAGTAACTGCAAAGTCATGGATTTAGTAATGTTTTTTTGATGTAATACTTCTGGTTTTCACTTCTCAAACCCAAGTCTGAACTCTTCGTTCTTTTGATAGTTTCTCAATAAATTTTAAGTAGTGAAGTACTTGTCGGAGACAATGCAATATTATACATTTACGTTTTAAATCTTTTATGTTGTACTGAAGTGTAAACTTCTTATCTCCTTGCAGGATGAAATCTTGCGCCAAGCTGTCCAACAGTTTAAGGGGAAAAGCTGGAAAAAAATTGGTAAAAACACTGTTCCTCTTCAAACCTAGTATGTCTTACACTCTAAGAGGGGTGTATTGCTCATACTTCTAGGGCCTAGTATATGTTTGCTTGATGCAGTAAAAGTTGGAAACCAATAGCTTATAAGACTATGGTGCTATCAAGCTCCTGCAACAATTATTCATTGCTAACTTGCCTTATTTGTTCTACTCATTTAGCTAGTCATACTTTTCATTATCGTTCTTAGAGAAGTGCTTCAGGGTCATCTCTTCTGACACCATATACGGATGAAGTTACTGAATAAGCTAGAACATGCTACTCTTGTGGAGAAATATTTTTTCTGGATGAAGTTTTTTTCCAAGGCATTAAAATCTTCCTTATAGTACTTGTATGATTCGTTTGAATTGGTTAACCTACAACTGAAGTTGAAGATCTTTGTCACACCCAACGGTAACAGCAGAGATCTATTTGACAAACACCGCCCAACTATTAAAGATGACAAATGTTAAGTGCTTACCAAATCTTAAGTTTTACTTGCAGCGGAATGTTTTAAGGATCGGTCAGATGTTCAATGCTTGCATAGGTGGCAGAAAGTTCTTGATCCCGAACTTGTCAAAGGTTCATGGTCTAAGGAGGTAAAAAAGTGCATTCCTATTTGGCCTTTTTGAATCATATCTTAGTACTCCTTTTGTCCCTTTTAATATGGCACTGTAGTATTTGCAGAGTTGAGCTGAGATTTTCTCAAGTCATTTCCTAAATATTTTAATTTTAATTATAGAAAATGACGATTTGTATTACTTTTCACGTAATTTCCTAATGCATGTTTTATTTTCAGAATATGTGAAATCATTGTCAGAATTGACCATTGTTATCCACAACCTGTCATTATTTTTGGGACAGAGGAACTTGTCAGCCATGTCCTTATGTTAGCTAATTTAACTCTTTCAACTTACGTGCAGGAAGATGATAAGCTAATCGGATTAGTTAACATACATGGCCCCAAAAAATGGTCCACCATTGCACAAGAGTTAGCAGGACGTATAGGAAAACAATGTCGGGAAAGGTAAGCACGCCAATTTTTTGTTCATCTAAACAAATGAATGTATCTTTTTTTCTTCTATGACAGAGTTCCAAAGTTCTCAAAATATTAGGCAAGTCAGATGCCAAGACTGGTGGGGTTCCAACTTCCTAATTTGACATTATGTTCTCACTTACCTCGAATAAGAAATTTTTCATTCGTAGCTGCACTTTTAACATCACAAGATCACCTTATGCAGCTTTCCTGCAATGAACTTAGGTTTTTCAAGCTTATGCAACTGATATCTTCCTATCTAATTTTATTTACTAACTGGTTAGAAGTTGTTCCTCAGCTTATATGACTCAACCAGTCTCTTAAAACTTAAAGATATGCATGCTGACGGCATGAGATGCTAGAGGCGGATAACTACTGCTACTTTCTATAGAAGAATAAGTCATTTTATATGTTGTCAGGAAATATAACTTGGTAACATGTATCCTTTGACTCAATAGGAATTTTGTGGTGTCACATTTCTTCTAGTTCCTTTGATTCATTAACATTGAGGTTGCAGATCACTCCTGAAAGAATAAGCTTTTAATTCACCCCCTTTATATGACTAAGAATGTTATAATGATTACTATGAGTGAACTTTTCAGATGGCACAATCATCTGAATCCTGCTATTAAAAAAGAAGCTTGGACGCAAGAGGAGGAATTGACTCTAATTCGTGCCCACGAAGCTCATGGAAACAAGTGGGCAGAGTTATCAAAATATTTGCCTGGAAGGTATTTTGAGGGTGTTAATTTTATGCTGATAAGAGCTTGTTTCCATCTAGACTTCCTTTCGAGTTCTTATTCTCAGCATTCTTTTAAAGTTTATAGTTGACATGTGAAAACTCTTATGGCTAATTTCAGGACAGACAATGCAATTAAAAATCACTGGCATAGTTCTGTCAAAAAGAAACGGGACTCATATATAGCATCAGGTTTACTTGCACAGTTACCCACTTTGTCTAATGTCAACCATCAGAACCAATCAATCCCTTCTTCTTCTGTGATGTTGCATCAAACTAGTGAAGATGAAAGTGTTCACAAAGAAGGAGCAGAACTGGAGGAAGTTATGGAATGTAGTCAAGGTTCAACTCTTGCTGGCTGTCCCCAGTCTACAAGTGACTTGGGCAACACATTTGTGCATAAAAGAGAGAACGGGGGGATGTCCATGGAAATAGTACGTGAAAAGGACACAAGCTCTAGCGCAGCACCATGTCCTACGTACTATACCCCAGCTTTTGAGGATGTTGGTTGCTCAATGCAAGAAGTTCCCAGTGAACTTGTGGATTCCAACTCCCTTGAGCAGCATACGTTCTCACATGACTGGGGCAATTCCACAGGGAATGATTGGCAGTTTAATATGGATGACTTTACGGAGTTTATTCAGGAATCTTCGGGACATTACATGCAGTGTTTGAATGGCAATGAAAACCATGATATGGTAACCAATCCATTGCAAAATGCAATGGAATCTGGAGCAACTTCTAATGCAGGAAACATAGTTGAGGGTCCATATAATCTCAATGAAATGTTTAATCTCAATGAATTGTTCGATGGTAGCAGGATCGAATACCCTGAGGTAGGAATTCCTCAATGCTCTCTGCCCGAAACTGGAGTTAATGGCAGTGGTGAACCTGCAGATTCTTTAATTTACCAATCATCAAACAATCAGATCCCTGAATCAGGAAATATGGCTCCACAAAACTGCAATGATTTTGAAGCTTCAACTTATCAGCAGTTTTCTGTTCCTTCGCACTTTTCGTCTGAGGATAGATCACTTGTGTTTGGTATTGCTTCAGATCAGTTCAATTATCCTCCTCTTGAGAACCCAGTTCAAGAGTCCTTCAGCAGTAGATGTGATGGTTTTATATGTCCAAGTGAGTTTGGCAGTCCTTCCAACGACAATGGCATAGACAATGCCGTCCTGAAAGATCATCCTGATTACACGAAAGATTCCTCAAGGTTAGAAGAACAGAAAGATGAAGGAGCTCTATGCTATGATCCTCCTCGCTTTCCAAGCTTGGATACACCTTTCTTGTATTGTGATCTTAAGCAATCTGGTTCAGATACACAGCAAGAGTACAGCCCTCTTGGCATCCGCCAGTTGATGACGACTTCTACAGACTGCTCTACTCCATTAAGGTTGTGGGACTCACCATTGCGAGCTGACAGTCCAGATGCTATATTGAAAAGTGCTGCCAAAACTTTTACTGGGACTCCTTCTATATTAAAGAAGCGACAGCGTCACTTGGTGACACCTTTATCAGAAAAGAGATGGGAGAAAAAGCTAGAAAGTGATCTCAATAAGGAATCATTCTCTAATATGGTTACAGAATTTCCCCGAGTAGATGACATGTTTGATGAGTCGGCAAATGAAAAAGCGTCTACTGAAGACAAAGAAAATCTACATCCATCCTCAGAAGATGGAAGAAAGGAGACAGGTGATGGAGTAACTGGACTTTCATGCATTGGAAATTCAGAGAGACAATTAGATGGTGGTGGTGCTAACTACCATAAAGAGCCCCATAGTGAATATGCTGGAACCAATGATGCAATGGGAAAGGTGAGTAATAATTTTTCATATATTTTTCTTCTCTGGCTTCACCTCTTTTTGTTTTTAGGAATGGGATGATGTGTGACAGGTAGGACCTCCATTCCAGATTGTATTTTTTGTAAAGAAATATATCCTTACAAGTTGGTGCTTGGGCATGAAATGGTTGATGTTTGGAAAAAAAAACAAAAGTTGTACTATTTGAAGTTAAGTTGAAAGCAGGTATTTGAAAGTTGAAGTTGTGTTTGGACTTGAAAAAAAATAAAATTAGTTGTGTTTGGAATTTGCTTTCAGCTGATTTGAACCGTGTGGTTTACAAAATAAACCATTAAACTTAATTTAGCTTAGATACAACTTTTGAGTTCTCATTCCTGTTATCAGGTAAAACAGCCTCCTGGAGTTCTGGTCGAGCTTAGCACAAATGACATGCTCTTCTCTCCTGATCGTTTCTTCACCAAGCATGATAGAGCTACAAGTTTAAGTATTAAAGCTTTAGGTAACCAGTATGCTAGACGACTTGAAGCTGCATCATCAAATCAAGCTACTGTTTCATCCTCGTCTATTGTTTGCTCTCCTGATGTACTTGGAAAGAGTCAAAGCGGTGCTTTCATAGCCACATCAATGCAATATACTACATCAACTGCATTGGAGAATACTACCGAAAATTCTGAAAATGTATTTGGTGCTGATACTTCAAACATGTAAGATTACTGCAATATTTGTTTTCCTTTGCTTTCTATCCTTTTTTTTTTGTTACTTATCTCCCACAAATTTGTACCTGTTAGTCCATTTACCTAATGATTGGTTTAAAAGGAGTTTTGCTACTCCTTTGTTTCTTATGATTTATTTACCTAATTAATGGTTTACAGCTTTGGAGAGACGCCTTTTAAAATTAGTATTGAATCTCCTTCAGCATGGAAATCTCCATGGTTCACGGATCCTCTTCTGTCTAGCCCAAGATATGAAAAAGAACTTACATATGAGGTATATACATTATGTGTTCTACTCAGTGACTAGTTATCTCTGTGTTTCGGTGCTTGTTGGTAATGGTGCATTTCTGTGCTCATGTTATATTGCTTTGATTTGTTTGTTTTTCCTTTATTTGGTAGGAATTTGCGTTTCTTCTGAGCCCCGGTGATAGAAGCTATGATGCTATTGGGTTAATGAAGCAATTAAGTGAGCAGACTGCACCTTCAATTGCGGATGCCCGTCAAATCTTGGGAAGTGAAACTCCAGAAACAATCCTGTTGGGAAGGAATTCCAAGGAACAAAAAGCAGATGAAAATCGTACCCTTCTGGCTTCAAATGCTATGGTATGTCTGGTCCCTATGTCAACATGATTACAAACATTTTTTCGCAAAGTGATCTATCCTTATACATTAGCCCTGCAATTTTTTGTTTAAAACATTTCTTTTCGTCATTTCTCTCTAGTCTTTATATCCTGTACTAATTTTGGCATGTTTCAAACAATAACCTTGCACTTTTCACTCAAAAACACTTACTTTCCTCTTTTTATTTCTACTCTTATGCTGAAAACTGATTGGAAGTAACTTACACTGCTCATTAGAACGAAAGAATCGATGAGACAATATAAATGGTCATTTTTCAAGTAACATCCGTTTTACTTTGGAGTAGAATGTGGAAATTGTGTAAGTTACGGCTTAGGAACATACTTTCTTGTGTAGCCTCACATAGTCTCTAGTATAGTAATAATTCTGTCGAGTGTCACTTCGAAGTCATCCAAAGTTTGGTTTTACTTGAAAATATCCCTGACTCAAGCTTACAGAAGCAGAATGACAATAAGAGCCTGAATCTGTTTATCTGGTTATATATCGTTCCACAGCCATGATCGTTTGTTGATTTTCCTACTGTTGGTTCCTCTGCAGAGTGAGAGACGCACACTTGATTTCAGTGAATGTGGAACACCAGGAAAGGGAAACGAGACGACTACCAAATTTGGCAGCAACGACAACGTTTCAAGTCCTTCCTCCTACCTGTTGAAATGTTGCAGATAGCAAGTACTTTTAGGATAGAAGACAAGTTTTCTTCCCTTAAAGGTACTTGTTTGTCGAAACATATTAGATTATATATTCATCCATTAAGCGTAATGCTTCATTCCCCTTTGCTAAATGCGAAAGCCAATATAGTACATTCCCTCCTCTTTGAGCTTCCTTTCGCAAGAAGCGTGCTACTGTAAAAATGGGGAGAATAGAAAAGCTGTGTAGATTGGCGAAGTTCAACTTGTTTGAGACTTAGACGTAGTTGTTATTGTGATTGTCATGTTTCCGATATGTTGAAATTACTACAAAGGCACAAAAAAAAAAAACTTATTCGTACTCGTTGGTTGCATTTGCACCAACCAAATGAATGCAAGACATTTTGTCTAACTCCCAACTGTCAAAACTCCATATCTTCGTCCATGTTGGCTTGACGCGAGTATTTACTTCTCCCTTTCGATACACATTGTTGAACTGAAATCTTTATAGCACCATCTTGAAATAGTACAATTATGAATATATCCATTACCAAAAAAAGACAGAAGAACAATACAAGCTTGATTATGTTCCAACACTTCATAACTTCATATCCTTATTGCTATTTTGTTATTGTTACACAGAAGGGGAAAAAAAAGAAACTAAATATTAGCTCAAAACTTGATAAGGACCTTCACACAGTTTGGTTCTTTCAAGTACTCAAATGCCTTGTTTACATCATTGAATGAAACTTCATGAGTCAATAACTCATCTAGTTTGATCTCCTGCAGAAAATAACCAGGGCATCGAGTGAATCGCGAGTCAGTCATAAGTCATTATTGGTTGGATAGGGACAGGTAAGACCAATCCATTCTAACTAGAAAAATAGAAAAGATTTCATTTTTCGTTTTCTTTTTTTCTAAATTCAAAATGTTCATATTTGAGGTTACATGTAAAAAACTCGTATTCATAATGTCGTATAATTAATAATATCTTACAAACTTGGTGTAGGTATAAATATGTTGGGATGTTACTCAGACTTTTCAAAAGTATTATCAGGGGTGTTTTAGATACTTCAAAAATAAGGTATTTTTGAAAGATCAGACACGAGTATGGCAATCATCATATCAAGCATGAACAAAAAAAGTTGAAAGTTGAATTACAGTTGTAACCCTACTATAAATTAACTTGTTATAAAAACTTAATATTTAATTTAAATATTAAATTGTATAGTTTTAATAAAATTGTTAATGACTTTTACGCTTTCTAAGATTAATTCCGAATTAAAATATCTAATTTAATAATATTTATCATCTATAATAAGAACACTATCATAGCACTAATATGATACAATAAATTTATTTCAAAGTGACTATTCATGATAAACATATTTATTTATTAGCTAAAAATGTTATAAACTTAACTAAACTAATAGAAAAGGAAACAAATAATAGTGATGGTCTTTATCTCTATTTATATAGTTGAATTGTTGTTTTATTTATAACTTGCTTTTAGTTTAAAATTTTTTGCATGTTCAAAAATAGATTGACTGTAACATTAGATTTTGTTATAATTTTCATCATCAAGACAAGATCGAAAAAAGAATAATTAATTGCATTTCTTATGTGTTTCATTTTTGTTCCTTGTATTAGTAAATCGCCTTTAAGAATAGATTTGATAGAGTGATCACTCTTTCTTTTTATTAAAGTTGATATGTAGAATTACATTAACGGTAGGTTCGATTCACATATCATTGTTCAATTTTTCTCTGATAATTTATATATAAATTATGAATCCACTATGGTATGTGTTTTAAGTCTATATTATATTAAGGGATAGATTCCCACATGAATTTGTATCGAAAAGTCAGTTACACACTTAAATTATCATGAAGACCTATTACACACATATACTATTTAAAAATGAATTTTTTTTAACCCCCTAAAACTTATGTGGCAAAATAAAATAAAATAAAAATAAATCATGCGCGTCAGACAATTATTTATATAAAAAAAAGTTTTAAAAAATCAGAATTCTCCTTACGCTCCACCCCCAGATCTCTTCTTCTTCATACGCTACTCTTCTCATCTCTTCTTCTTCACACCCAATAAGGTTAAATGAATCGGTAACAAGACGCAATGTAGTAACAAGTTAGTTAAAAAAACACTATATTTTTTACCCATAAACGTCGCAACAAGAAATCAAAATAGTACTAGGTGACTTAAGATTTGTGGATTTTGATTAGTGTTTGTTCATGTCATCGAAGGATAAAAGTTTGGGGGGTCTCAGTCGCGGAGTTATGATGAGTGATCTATTGAAAATGGGAAGATAATTATTTTTCTATAATTCCTATCTTTTTAGAAACCTCCACGGGGAACATAAAAAATGTGTTCGGATCTAAAAAATATTTGCAAAAAATTGGACGCTCGATTTTCATGGTCAATCAACGGAAGAAACTGAAGGAGTCTTTTTGGGGTTCATTTTGGAACAAAAGTAATTCTTTCACCATACCAATCAACTTCGAATTTCAAAAAATTTTCTTGGCAGTCATTGTAGAAAGCTTCTTCTTTGCAATTATGCTATGAAGAATGTATAATTATTAGAGAATTTTACCAATTAATTAAAAACTAATTAATGTAAAATGTAGCTAGCAAAAGAAAAAAGTTGATTAATAAAGATAAAAAAAAAGATATAAAAAAATTATAATTTCTGACATTGCGCTGACATATTGCTGATATCGCAGCAAGTGTAATACACCACATTATGTGAGAGTGTGATACACCTCGTAGGGTGGTATTAAAATTCACTTTTAAGTAGTAAAGGTGTGTAATGGTCGTCATAATAGGTTAAGTGTGTAACTGACTTTTCAGGACAAGTTCAGTAAGGAACTTATGCATTTTCTTATTATACTAAATCATATATATTATATCACCATTAAGCACGAACTATCAGTTGAAGTATGACAAGCAAAATAAAGCACGGACTACCATAGGAAAATTATCTGAAAGAGCAACTTCAATGAATGGTTGGGATTTGACTTTTCGACCTTATGGTGATAGGCTAATTAATTGTAATCGAAAAGCAGATAGTCATAGGTGTAGGGCCTTTTTCAAAATGAACAAATACAAGTGGACAAGGAAGCATTTACGTGTAATTTATTATTCTCAAATCTACTATAGAAAAAAACACATTTTAAAGAAATATCGTACGTACCTTGCTAATGCATTTGTCAATTATAGATGGAAGATCTGTGTGAGTTCTAATGCCACCATAGATTGATCCTTTGAGTGTTCTACCAAACATTAGAGGGACATAACTCATTTGCCAATCTAACACAAGTCCAGCTCCAAGCACTATCACTGTTCCATAACCCTAAATATGTTTTTTTTAAGTCACACAACAATTAAAAACATAATTATTTAATAAAGTAAATACTAAAAAAAGGGATATAAAAATAGTTGTTTTTTTTTTTTTTTGTAAATTATAAAAAGATAATTTGTACACGTTATATGAAACAGTGTCATGTGAAAGAAAATATGAGAAACAAATAGAGATGAGATAAAGAATATTGTCGTCTCGAGTAGTTTGTGTGTGTGCACCTGTACAAGTAATTATCATAGTGAATATTAAGTAAGCTCGTATAATCACGAAAAAATATAAAATTATGAGAGAAAAAAACGTGACGAATATATTCACTACGGGTGGTGGGGGTGGGGGTGGGGATGGGGGATGAAATGCAATGATTTTGATTATTTTTAGAAATTTATATCATTCTATTGTTACGATATTCATCTTAAATCTTTAACACCACCTTAAAAATAGTATTACTATAAAATACTTTATCCAAAGAAGAAGAAGATAGAGGATAATACAAGTTTGATCACGCTATACAAAAGGATGTCATATTATATAAGACGCAAAAGTAAACAGATAGAGAATTTTTAAAAAAAATAGATAAAGTAAAAATAATATTACTATAAAATATTCTTTACCAAAAAGAAAAAAAAGATTGAAAACAATACAAACTTGATCATGCGATACAAAGCAATGTAATATGATATAAAACATAAAAAGTAAATAGAAATAACATAAAGAATGATGATATTACTTGAAAAATTTGTGATTTTGATTATTTTTTTTAGAAATTCATATCATTCTAATATTACGATATTTATCTTGTCGATTTAAACTGAAATCTTTAACACATTTACGCTATTACTATGAATTATCACTATTAAAAAAAACAATACAAGCATAATCATGTTATACGAAATAGTGTCATATGATATAAAATACAAAAAAAAACAAAGAAAAATAACATAAAAATTGACGATACTACTTGGAAAATGTATATATCATTTTAATATTACGATATTCATCTTGTTAGTTTGAACTGAAATCTTTAACACATCTATGATATTAACTATGAATTATCACCATTAAAAAGAAATACAAACATGATCATATTATACGAAATAGTGTCATATGATATAAAACACAAAAGACAAAAAAGAATAACATAAAAATTAACGATACTATTTAAAATAAACATATATATATATAAAATTAATAAAATTAAATAAAAAATTAGTCGAGATAGACTCAAATATATACCATTCTAGTTGATTGAATAGCTTCATTGATAGTGAGTTGAGGCACATCTGTACACTCAAAGAAGTAGTCAACACCAAGTCCACCAGTAGCATCTTTAATTAATTCTGAAATTGAAATTGATTTTTCAGAAATATTTATAAAATCAGTAATTCCATAAATTTTTGCTTTTTCACTTTTCATTTCATGTATATCCATCCCAATTATTTGGGCTGCTTCCTTTTGTCTAGCTCCTTCTGCTACCTGTATTTTTTAAATACAAGATCGAAAAGTGATCAGTAAATTTATAAAAATATTTGTATGTATATGCAAAAACTTATAAATCAACATTTTTTTCAATTTTAATATATTGAAAAATAATTAGTATTATTATCATAAAATAGAAAATTAATTGACTAATGAACAATCTTAAATATATTGATAATATTCACAAAATTCACAACTATTTTTTGTACTCATACTTCATTAGTATTATTATCAAAAAATAGAAAATTAATTGACTAATGAACAATCTTAAATATACTGATAATATTCACAAAATACACAACTATTTTTTGCACTCATA